ATTCCATTTAGAAAAATAGTCAGTTAAACCAAATGAAATCCTTCGTTACCTCGATTTGATCGGTCGGCCAGTGGAGAGGAGTGGTCACATTCACTCCTCTGGTTATGCTTTTCGTGGCCGCTACCAGTTTGGCAAGGCCGTCTGCTTCGATATCCTGTGCTCGAGAGATTTGATTGAGCTGGCATTCGCCGAACTCGGGTAACGGCTTGCGAATCTCGGCGTGGTATTCTTGCAATATTTGTTTCTTGATTTGAAAAGTCTCTGTGACTTGATTGACAACGAACACTCCGAAATATATCCATGTTTGATTGTTTCAAAGTTGTGGAGTGGCCGCAGAACCAAACGCAACACAATCCGATGAGAAAGCCGCTAATCTTGGTGCCTTTTTAATAAACTGAATGGAAGCTTCCCCATTATCTGTATCACCAACTTTAACAGTGGACGAAATTACATGGATTTTATCGACAGTGATATTAGGAAGACCCACATGAACTGTACCAATAAAAGGACTATGCTTTGATTCTCAATTTTAGGTGGGTCAAGGGGAACTAGTAAGGACTCAGCCATTTGTACTAGAAAATCCTTCGCAAAATCAAGACCCTTATTTGATATGTCCACTGAGATGTAGCCTTCTTCATTGGATTTAACATTGTTAGTTGAAGAAATAAGGAGTAAAGATAGAAAAAAAGAAGGAGAAGACATAGTCTGCCATTTGAAATTTTTGAGGAACCCTTTTCGGTTGAATTAAATGGAATTATTGATGAGACTGAGATGGGTAAAGTTCAGGATTAGACACTTAGCTTTGATTTGAAGAAATGTTTGGTCTGTCAACGACATTACATTTGGTTGAAGGTATCACTCGTCTGGACTGAATATATTATCCATATATCTTTTAGAGATCTAGAGAAAACTAGCATCTTAACTAGAAAATCCCCACAGACGGCGCCAAATTGTTTGACTCAAAAGATATTAAAATCTTTTTGAACAAATCAATCAATGAAGATGAAGGGGTAAATCCTAGCTAAAGATAATCAACTCTAGATCCGAGATGAGTAGGAGAAATAGAAAAACATAGTCAAATATAAGTGTTGACAGCGATTATGATCAGATTTAACGGCATAAGTAAAGATGCATTAAGTAACAAAAATATGAATACGATCTTCCGTTCGGCCAATTGGACAGCGTCATCTTCGTTTAGTTTACTATTCAACGTCCCCCAATCCCTAGTTGTACAGGTACAACCCAGAAGCTTCCTCTTTCATATTGATGAAAGCGCTTAAAGAAAAAGATTCACCCGATCTTCAGTGAAACGGATCTTCTTTCATTTAATAAAGATCGATGGTAGACAAATACAAGAACCTTATGACCCTTTTTGGATCCGATGAAGGTATGGGATCACTGATCCTCTCAATTCTTTGGAGAGGTGTGTTTACATATTTTCTAGAAAGAGGGAGAGGGAGACCGAGAGAGAGCCCCCTGTTTTTGGGAAGTCCTCCCTTCCTATTTATAAGGGGGGGGGGGGTGGGGGGGGAGGGTATACACTAAGNTCCCTTCCTATTTATAGGGGGGATATCCATAAGAAATCCTACAAAAAGGTACAATTAGAGAGAATATTCAGTAGAATATTCCTTTTGAGGGTTCCAAAGCAGACTAGTTATTTCATCACGACCTCGGCCTGTCCGACCTTGTTGATGACGGTCCGACCTTGGCCTTGTTGATGACTGTCCGACCTTGGCCTGTCCGACCTTAGCCTTGTTGATGACGGTCCGACCTTGGCCTGTCTGACCACGACCTTATGTCTCCTCGTGCCGAATTTCTCTGATCTAATTTTGACCCATACAATAACGGTTTAGTATTTTTTGACTATTGGTTATTGGTTTGGGACTCGATTTTTCCAATTTTATTAACGGTTTAATCGATAACCCAAGCAAAAATTATAATTTTACCCTTGTGTTTGGACAACTAGACTTGAGCAAAATCTCTTAATTCTTTGCCTTCTGTCAATTTCAACTTCTGTTGAACTTACTTATCCTCATGTCAAACATCTATATTTGCATTTTTCGTCAATCTTTTGCCTTCATAAGGACAAAATTACTTGCGCAAAAACTTATGAAGTAGCATTTCTGCTATGAAAGTAGCTTTTGTAATTATGATCGTCGGCCTTCCAGTGTTTAGCATATCCTCCCAAATAGCCTGGAGTATGCGTGCCACTTCTTTAGAATATGTTGTTGCAATTGCTACAATTGTTGGATTTGTGGATTTCACACTATCAGTATGTTTAATGTTTCTCTTTTAAACAACAAAGTGTAGTTACATATGATGTTGGACATATTTTCATATGTTTTGACACCAATTTACCTATATTTTTACCGCTGTTTGATTATATTTGATATATATTGAATATGCCCAACTTAGCTTGATTATGGAGTTTTATACTTATTGTGTATTAATAAATAATGTAGGTACATTAACGAAAGATTGTGGAACAAAAATAACGAAAATGGAGAAAACTATTTGTTGGAGCATTCAAACGAGTTCATACTAATTGGAATGGGAGTTGAAATGCATCAAGTGAAATTAAAGAAAGAGCGACAAAGACATTAGCTGGAAAGGAAAAGTTAGGCAAAAGCCATTTTGGAGGAAGAGTAAATTGGCAGCACAATAACAACGAATTGGAAAAGTTCCAGGCGACGCGTGATTGTTTTCTCGCGACAATCCTCGCGGCGCACTGCCTAACGCGAGGTGCTTCCTTGCGTTATGTGGTGTGACGCTCGGGTCCAGTTTTGAAGCTATTTTGTCTCCTGTTTGGTTTTGGATAGTTTATTTTGTTTAGGCTTTTTCCTATACATATAAATAGTTATTAAACACCATTTTAAGGCGGAGGAGACCTGAGATTAGACTGAGGGAGAGCACGGAGCCGCCGCGGAGGCCGGAATTCATCAGACTCCATCTTTCTTCCATCAAACTTAGTCATCTTTTACTTTTTCTTGATGATTTGTTGTTTTTCTACCATGTCTATGTGGAGTTAAACTTCACGGTCTAGGGGTGTGGTTGTCATGAATATTGAAGTTTATTAATTATATTACCGTTAACTCGAGTTATCATCTTTGGTTGTTTCTCTAATTCTGTGCATAATTGCTTAATTGTTTGGCCAGCAATTGAGTTCTATTTACTATCTATGCTATGCTTGGGAAAACCGTGCTTAGATTAGAGTAGAATTGGAGAGAGCTCGTTTCTGAACCCGTGGCTCGGGGAAAGATTTAGCGGTTATGATAGGAATATACCTTGCTTAGTTGAATACCATAGTATATTCGTTCAAGATTCAAGACCATAGGAATATGGAGTTGATATATTATGGATAGATGGATAGTATTTGTGGGAACATACTATTTATATAAACGATTCGGTCAACTAGCAATCATAGATAATTTGGATTAACAGGTGTAATTACGAACTCAATAGGATTGATAAACCGACCACAACCCTGGAATCTATATCTCCCTTGGCTACGTGTTTAAATTTCGCAGTAATAGTTGTAATAGAAAAGTTAAACTTTTGATCATCTTGGGCAGTTAATTGATTTTAGTTTGCTTAGTTAACGATTACTCTAAGTCTCTGTGGATTCGACATCTGACTTTTGAATCACTTTATTACTTGACGGTCACGTATACTTGCGTGTACTTGGTGAACCCACAACATACCTATAAAAAATTAATAATGAGTTCTTCAGCCATTTGTGTGGGTAGAATGCAAGTTAATATAGTGAACTCATCTTCTTTCATTTGTGTTTGATAGTATGCAAGTTAATTCGGTGAAGTCATGACCTTTTTTATAATCTCAGTCATGTTCATCCGTGTATGAATATATGAAGTAGTTTGAGCTAATTTTGCTGTTATTTAAGATCATTTAGCGTTGTATACTACACTTCTTTCCTCTAGATTTAGTTTATTTTTGTTATCCAATCTGTATTGCTGTAAAATCAATAAAATAATAAACTTTCTGAAAAACAGAAACAGAAAGTTAGTAGAACTAGAACGACAAAATAAATTCTGAAAACAGTATAGGAATAAATCGAGCCCACTGAATACACAGTGTGTCCTTAAGGAAATTATTCCCCTTAAGTACCTGAGGTTCTGGAATATATCCTCCCAGGATAGAACGATTTAACTCACCAGTGTATTGGTACCAAAAACTCCTGTGATCGGCGAACCACTCAATGGTCGTAAAACACACTGGAAAATATTGTGCAGAAGAAGAAGAAGATAATCAGAAAATTTTGGTAAGTAAAAATTATGGGATTGAAGGAATATTTATAGCCCATTTGGCACTGTTTCTGAAAAGGTTTGCAACCTTTCAGTACATCCATAGCTGTTGGAACATGTGGGGAAAATTGCGGGAAAAACAAACAGATTTAAAATAATCCGGGAAAGAAAACGGACCGGACGTCCAAAAATATTAATTAATCAATCGTTGATCGAAGCCGAGCGAGCGACGACGACGGCGCGAGGCTTGCCTAGCTTCTTCTTAACTCTTTAAGAGCTAAAAGATGAGCTTCTCTATATATATACACAAAGATTTTCTTTCCTTCTACCAATGCGGGGCAAAGTGCATTAGTAAAGTGAACTAATTCAAAATTTCACTTCCCTCCATTTCTTTTCCACCATTTTCCATTCACACCTCTTTTGTTATTAATAACAAAACCCAATAATTTTGTTGGATAAATCTATAATCGAACCGTTAATGATAGATAATCGGTACCCGATAATTGATAGCCTATCGGTTCGGTTATTAGTTTAGCATAGTGTAAATCGATAACTGATATGCGGAACGGATAATATTCTCAACCGAACCGAATCAATCGATAGCCTGTAGACTCATTTCATAGCTATTTTCTTTGTGAAACATCAAAAAGAAAAAGAAAAACCACAAAGCAAAACAAAAAGAAATGATACTGAATATATTTTTTTTAAAAGAAAACGATAGATCTAGATTTGCTTTGTTAACATCTTATTCTCAAAAAGAAGACGACAAAATAAAACATTTGATTATATTCTCAATTAAAGTAATATATGTCTTTATTTTTTCTAAAGCACCCAAATGACACTTTAACATTTATCCCTTACCATGAAAAGAAGGCTTGTATATATTTTTCCAGCCTTCATAATCCTTTAAAAATGCTGCATCCCTGAACATTGTCAAACAATATCACCGCAGCAAGAACGCCCTATATTCCTTATATACGCTGGTATGAAATATATTTTTCTATAGCAATATCATCCTTTTTAGACTTCATTAATATTGTAAGCCTCTTGTACGTAGTCAAGTTCTGGTATTTTCACCATCAACGGTTGTTGTGGGTTTGTAAATACCTCTCTATCTTTAACCTGAGATCTCGGGTTCAGGCTTTGATATTGAAGTCGTCTTTGCTAGGAAGAACTATACCCCAAAGCGGGACTTGCCGCGGAGTGAATTAATCGGAACCAGACACCGGGTGAGAAACCAACAACAGCAAAAATTCTGTTATTTTCTTTGTCATCTAGTTTGTGTTGTCTACCTTTTAACCAGGATTTAAGTTACATATTACTTATTAGGACAGTTTAACATTACCAATTAATAATTAGCAATATAAATTTGCATACCAATTACTTTATAAATAACTTGATGGGTAATATCAATGCATAAAACTTAAACTCTTAACTAACATCGTTTGTTCAATAAGGTAGGTACGAAGAAAAATGTCCTTGGAATCTGAAATGGTGGACATCACTACAATCTCAAGACTACAATCTACACCAAGAAAGCGTCAAATACCAAAAGCTCCATTATTCATGAGAATTGACAATCAAAATAGTGATGACTATGATCCTAAAGTGGTTTCATTGGGACCTTACCATCATGGAAAGCCAGAGCTCAATTTTGTTGAAGATTTCAAGCCTAAGTCTCTAGAGATGTTCATTCATGGCAGTAACAAACATAAAAAATATTTCCTCGAAAAAATTCTCGAGGGGATTGAGGATGTTAGAAGTTGTTACCTCGAAGAAGTCACGAATAAGTATAACGACTATGATTTTGCTCGAATGATGCTCCTTGACGCATGTTTCGTTCTTAATGATATCGACATAGTAACAAGGTCATCAAACTCTGCCTCTAAACAAACCAATACTATCAAGCATCTTGGTATTGCAGTTTATTTGATCACTAGACGTGACCTATATTTGCGCGAAAATCAGGTACCCTTTGTTTGGAAAATTATACCGTATATATTGATCAAATATTACTTTTTAAATTTTGAACATACCCTTAGTGAAATTCCCGAATTCGCTACTGGACAGGTACCTTTTTGGATTCTCAAGCTCTTGGTTAAGTTGAGATATGGTGATGATGAAGGTGGTGAATATTATCCATTTGAAAACAAAGTGAAAAGCTATTGTTCTCAAATGTTTTTTGATAAGCAAGAGGACAACATAGAAGAGAACGCGATGATGGAGATAGAACCTCCTCACCTTCTTGAAGTTTTTCGACGAGTACTTGTTACTGGCAATGATGAAGAAGTTAATGTCAAACAATCGCGTTGTGATTGCATCTTTGATTATTTTCTTGATCGTTTTAGAAAGAATCATGAAGTACACAAACCAGCATTGCTCACAAATGTGTTTCGTTCAGTTATGGATTTAAAATCAAAGGGCATTCATTTTAGGCCTAGTGGAATTGATTCTTTAAAAGGTGTGAGATTTACATCTCACTATTACTATGCAAAACTCAAATTACCATATATGTTGGTATGTTTCAACATACACTAAAGTATTTTTCATGAACATGATAGCTTATGAATTGTGCCCAAATAGTCCTAATGATAGAGCTGTGGTATCTTACATAAATTTCATGAAATCTCTTGTGATTTCACCTAATGATGTGAAAGAACCAAGAGAAGAGAAGATTATATTCAACACATTGGGAAGTGATGAAAGTGGTACAAGTTTATAAAGGATTAAAGACTTATGGGGCAGATGATCCTTTAATTTTCAAGAATGTGAAGAGGAATATTCAAGAACATTATAATAGCAAGGTGAAGACTTGGATTGCTGAATTGATAGATACATATTTTAATGGTCCATGGTCTCTAACTGCTTTAGTTGTTACTATTTTTATTACTTTCTTGACTGTTGTCAGACTTACTATAGTAGCCCATTTAATCATTCTCATGATAAGAATATGTGATTTTACCTTGTGTAGCTGATTAATGTTTGTTATGTTGAATAATCATTCGGACAACAACGTCATTAATTTTAATTTTTCTCTTAAAGTTCACTGTTTGCGGCAACAATATATAATATTTTATCGGCTATTATTTTTTGTCGGCTAACAATATACATCTCTTTTCTTATTTTTCCCACAAAACCTGGATCTTAATTCTTAGGGGTGTGTTTATACAGTATAGAGATTTTTCACTATATTACGGTTCAAGCTCAACTATCAAGGTATTGCTCGCTTTGACCCGATCTTTCTGAACCACCTCAAGCCTTTTGAGTTTCACGATTTTATTTTAACCCAAAAGGTGTCTCAATAGTTAAATCATGAACTCGCCCTTAAACCCCATCTTGAGTTCAACCGCTAACGGTCCATAAGCTATTATAAATATATGTAGCTAAACCATATAGTGGGATTATAAAGGAATTTTTACCTCCTATAGCAAAGGTTAACACCTTATTTATTTTAAATAAATACCATTTTAAAAAATTATATTCTATAGATACCTTTTAATGGTTATAGCAAAATATCTAATTTTGGTTACCTCCTACCCCTAAGCCACTAAATACGCTATTTAGTTACACTATTTTCTTTCTCTCTCTACTTTGATACATGCCATTCTCTTCCCCCGTTCCCTAAACACACGATGCTCAATCTCCAAATTCCTCTCACTCATATCACCTACCATTAGTCAAAAACCATGAGGGACGAAGATGAAGACAATATGAAGATGAAGAACAAGATGGATGTAATTCGAGCCCAAGAAACCCAAGAACTTTTTGGGAATTTCAGTTTTACGAAATTTTGCAACAGTTTCCTCTACTTTTAGAAAATCTTGGCCTCGATTTGCTTCAATCAGTGCCCTCTTCTCTTCTGCTTCCCTGTGAATTACAACCATATTGTTCTTCATCTTCATAAAAATTGGAGACAGTGAACTTTGAGCCAGAGGAAGACAATATGAGGGACGAAGATCTGCTGGGTTTATGGTTTTTGCGATGAAAAGAGTTGCTGGTTCTTGGTTTTTACGCTGTATTTTCATGTATTTCATTGTATTCATTGTCTTTTTTTTCATTGTAATTTCAATGTATCTCGTTGTATTTCATTGTATTCACTGTCTTTTTTTTTCATTGTATTTCAATGTATCCCGTTGTATTCTATGTATTTCATTATATTCACCGTCTCGTTATATGCCATGAATGTATTCATATGTTTTTTTTTAATTTAATATAATTTATATATCCAGATGTATTATATAACTTCTCTGAAGATTGCCATATTTTTAGGGTATTTTTCGGTTGAGAATCTTTTTTATAACTGGAGATACAAAATTTGTGTGTTATAATTGAGTTTGTTGAGTTATATTAGGAGTCTATTATGTTAATTGATTCACTTTCCATTTAAAAACAGTGTAATCCCCTGTTTTACGCCGTGAATACAGTCGAATACAATAATCTGTCCAGCTGTAATCCCATGTTTCATGCCATGAATACAGTCGAATACACTCGAATACAAAAACTGATTAGCTGGACTTCCCTGATTTACGCCTATTTTTGCTACTGTATTCATGAATACAGTAGCTTAAATACATCTAATACATCTTATAACAACAGAAAACGTATCTATAATCCGTAATATAGCAAATGGTATATATAGATAGCTAATTACCACTAAAAGATAGTGCTTTACGAAAATTTCTCGATTATAAATACGTAGGTATATACTTGTGTTCATGAATCATGAGTTAAAAATAAACATTTAGGTTAACATGAATTTTGAGAATGCAAATTCAACAAGTTTCAACATTGTTGGGTTCTCCACATAAAAGAACCTTTTTTTTTTTTTTTGGTAAGTTACTACTCTAGGTGCAAGGAAACAGTGTCCAAAAAATAAAGTTGAAGCTCAAACAAATTTTTAATTATTAATTACGACCTAGTTTATTTATGTCATTAGACCATAGTCTTGTGCTCTGGTCTATGAGTGAACTCGAAATCAACATGCACAAAAGCTCTCTCAACATCAGGAAGCTGCTCTAATTTTTCTTGCAATGTTTCACCAATATTATGTGCTTGGATTAGAAGCATGTCCTCTGGCAAAACTATATCAACTTCCACAAAGTAATTTGCACCAAATGTGTATGCTCTCACAGTATCAATGTGCTTTATCTCTTTGTGATGATTCCATATAAGATATGTCAATTTCGCCAGAAATTCTGGTGGAGCTGTTCTTCCGATGAGTGATCGCATGTTTTCGATTACTGTCTTTGCCCATGTGCCAATTGTGTATAGTGCTATCTGCAAACACATAATGTTAACAATTGGTTTAACACCCTTTGACTAGATATGAAGTTCAAGAAATAAAAGAGACAGAAGTTAAATATGCTTAATAGGTCAGAAATAGCATATGTCAATCTTGATATAAAAATATAAATAAATGTTTGGAGTTTTTAAAGCTATAAAGATGTCAATCTTTTAGGACAAAAGAAAAAAAAAGGAAATAGTGTCTAGTAAATTGAGACAGATGTAGTGTCGTATGTGTGTGCACGTGCATCCAAGAGTATGACCTAGTGGTCAATAAAATTGCTATAAAGGTTGAAATTAGGATTCCATTTCTAGAAGAGACAAAAAGTACAAGTTATTTCCACACGCCTAAGCCTCGGTGAGTAACAAGGTGTCCGGTAAATTTTTTAGTGAGAGATAATAGGTGCTAAGTGAAATAGTTAAGCAAGTTGATGCAAACATCACTATATATGTGCAAGTTCTCTCCACGTGACCTAAAGGTCACGGGTTCGAGCCGTGGAAGCAGCCACTAATCCTTGCATTAGGGTAAGATGTCTACTTCATACTCTTTGAGTGCGACTCTCATTCAGATCTCGCGTGGACTTAGAATGCTTTATGCACCGGACTGCCGTTTAGAAAAGTAGATAAAAACAAAAGAAGTATAAGTGATGATTGTGAACTCACCAATATAGCTCCCATGGGATCAATCCACCAGCAGAAACGAATTGCTAAAACTGCAGTCACTAATCCAACTGAGTTGGTAATGACATCAAAGAAATGGTCTTGAGCATAGGCTCTTACAATTTCATTCTTGAATCTTCGACAATACAACATCAGCAGAAATTTTACCACAGTGACAGAGACCATAATCCCAATCATCCATTTTTCCTTCTCAGGATCCGTATTAGGACGAGACTGATGATCATAAGAATTAAACCAGAAGAACAATAAAACTGGTGTTAAAGAGTGGACCATTAAGCATTTCACTAGTGAAATTCAATTACTTTTACATAGATTTAAGATAAATACACTGAAAAAATATTTTTTTTTCTCATATAACTGTAGTTTAACTTGTGATAGTAAGTCAGTTATCATGTTTACTAGGTTACCAATTACTCAATTTATTTTATTTTATGTGACACTAATTCTTTATTGTCTGTCCAAATATTAATGACACATATCCAAAGTTGAAAATAATTTAGCGTTAAATTTTTCATTTTAATCTTAAAGAACTTTTATATAGATCACAGTTCACAGAAATATTATGACAAATTTAAAACTACAAGTTTAAATCTACTCCTAGTATAAAATCCTTCCGAAAACTGAGTCACATACCTTATATATGAGTTCCTTACCAGACTCAAATAGTATTTGTAATCCAAGAGTTGCCATCACAGATGCGAAGACAATAATACCCTGCAAATATAATATGATAAAATGTTAAAAATAATGATTTGCTTGGTAGTCTTTAATTAAGAAGAAACAAGGAAAGGATCTTGACATGATAAAATGTTAGTTTTGGCTACCTTTTCATTTAGAGCTTAGCTTGTAGAAATTTTTTACATTATCAAATTAAAATAATGGCATATAATTATAGGTAATTAACTATCTATAGTAATCCTAATTTGATAACTTCAAATATAAAATAATAGGCCAAAATACACAAATAGTATACTTAACTGCTCTAACGGACAATGTAAATAATTAATACATTAATTATGAAGTTAATTGAAAAAAAAGTAACTTTTGATACTCGTAACATGGTATAATAACCTATAAGGGATGGTATGCAACCTGTTACGGCAAAAATAATATAAAATTTAATGTATATAAGTTAAATCCAATCTTTTTTCAATCTTTAAGTATAAAGAGGAGGGTAGATGTTTTGCTTCTTTTAATTATGTATAAAGGCCAGTTTGCTTACAAGTATAAATCTTAAAATCACATTGCACACTGACCCAAATTATAGAATGCATGTAACAAATATCAAAATGTGGCATTATATTTGAAGACTCACCACAGGCTGCATTCTCTTTTTACCAATTGGATAGTGGTATTGGTTTGGTTTTTTCATAGCATAAACAGTGAACCACAGAATAAATCCAGACAATAAGTCTAAGAGAGAGTCCAAAGTTGATGCAATCACAGCCAAAGATCTGCTTGCAATAGATGCATAGATTTTTGCAATGAAAAGAATCACATTTGCTATGTTTGATACATGAATTGCCATCCTTTCACTCTTAGCAAGCTGCTTCATTTCATCCTGTCAAATATCAAGTGTAGAGAGCAAACATGTTTTAATTTAGCACGTTGTCTGTTCCACTTTTCAAGTTACTAATTATAGCAAATAATTTTTTTTTTGCGATATCAGTGTATGTTGATCTGTTGTAACAGGTTACTTAATTTATTCTTAAGATTACTAGCCCCATTAGTACGTACAGACGGTTACTTATAGTTATTTTTAAGGTGACTCAATAAAGTAAAGAAAATCATTGTTATATGTAAGTTAAGTCCTTTTTAGTTTAATTTTTAACCTTTTATGCATTAACAATCTAAAATTTTCGACCACAATATGTCACTTGAAAGATAACTTTAAGTAACCATCTATAATAAGCAGGGGCGAGGCTATATGTGTTAAAGAATGATCAACTGACCATCGTTCATCGGAAAATTACACTGTTTATATAGGTAAAATATTAATCTTTAGATATATATAACATTTATTGAACGCTCTTTAATTTGTTGAAGATTTTTTTTCATTTCTTTCAAGTTTGAGTGAAGTAAAGAACTTGAAAAATAGGAAAGTACACCTCCCACAAGTAAACTTATGCCGAAAAACACACAACTTCAGAAGAGTGGAACACTTATACAAGGAAAGAGGTAGAAGAAGAAGTTTCACTAAAGCAAAATTTCCAAAAATTTGACATTTCCTAAGAGTAAGAAACTAAACTTGGAAAAGTTAGGGAACCCAAGCCCCGACATCATGTCACCAATCTGTGAAATATTGACGTAATACATATCGTGTAAGGTTGTTTGTCATATATTTCAGGTTACTAATTTTACTTATTATAAATAAATAACGGTAACAATTTTTTAAGTAACTTAATAGTATATACATTATTTCACTATCATTTATTATTGAGGAAAAGAGACGAACCTCAGTTAAACTTCCAGGTAAAGAGCCAGATTCATGAACAGTGTCCATCTCATTGAACCCTTCAAGCAACCTTTCTTGCTTCTCGTAATATTCAGCTACTTTGCCTTGTTTTTCTATATATAGAGATATGAAAATGATCCCATCAAGTCGTGTAAGATAAAAGATAAAACCTTACGAATATGATTTATAGTAGTACTTAATTATTTTCCAATTTATATGTCATACTTGCCGTTTTAAGCTATCGAAAAAAATGTCATACCTCTTTGTTTAAAAAGACTACACTTGGTAATGGATGTTGAAAGGCTGAAAAACTACGATGGGTAGTAGAGAACGTACTTATAGAAAATAAACCAATTTCTTTACTTGAGTAGTTCTTGAAGACAAAAGAAGAAGAAATTAAAAGGATATCCAAACCAAAGTTAGAACTTATAACCATTGGTTGAATTGAGTTGTACTTAAAAGAACAATTTACTTTTTGATCTTGTTTTAAAAAGAATGACATTTTTTTTTATATTTAAAAATAATATTACTTTAATTTTTTTATTTTACTGCACAAATATGTTGAAATGTAACTCATAAGTTTCAAAGCCTTTCTTTCTTAAATTTTTATCTTTAATCAAATAGATTCGCATAAAATAAAATCGAGAGAGTAGTTTTCTAGGAGATAATTAAATGAATTCAATCACAACTAAAATGCAATGATTTAATACCTTCAGATTAATCCATATTTGTCTTAATTCAACCATTTATTCAAGTAGTTTTTACTTCGACAAGTGCAAAAAACATAGCAAACAATATCATGAAAGGACAAAAAAAGGATAAAAGGAAGGAAAATTACTAGAAGGGCGACGCAAGAGTCGACGTAAACTGAAAGATTGACGATGATCACCAGTGCCATTTTCAGGGACACGAAACTCCCCTATATTCAGCCTCCACGACGCCGACGGTGAAGAGGAAGATAACGGCAACGGTAACGGCTGATGGGTGGCGCCGCCATGATCACCACCGTTACTGCCAACAATTTCCATGAAAATTATTACTAGTATTTGTACGAGTGAAAATGTACTTGTGTTTTGATATTTATCGTTTCGAAGTAGGCAGACGCAAAAGGACTCTTCTAAAGATAGGTTTGGTCAAAGATACTTTCAAGGAAAAATAGGCTCAAACTGTGGGAGTTTGTTGGTACGTAGGAAGTTTCCTTCAATTTTTTACCCCAAGGAAATAGATACAGTAACAAATACGTAATATGGTTCACTAACCATAGGAGTTACAGGTTTCTAATAACATTCACATAAAGAACTTAACCCTGCCTAAATAAACATGTATAATAACAACAACGTCGGTAATATTTATTGGCATCCAAAGTTTACATAAAATTATACTATATTTATTATAATTAAATAGGTAGATGGATGTATTTCGCCCGTGATTGAACTCACAGTCAACTTCCTAATACGCAATTGAACGGCTGCATCCGCCCCTGATTGAACTCAAAATACCTTTAAAATTATAAACACCATTTGCTAAAAAATTTGTAGTAACTTTTATAATTTAACTGCATATTATGTTAAAAATACTATTCAATTAAACCTATAGCTCAAAAGCTACATCAACATACTACTAGTTATATCAAACAGAGAACGAGGGAGCTATGTGTAACATACAATAACTTTAGGGAAGGCCTTCATAATTAAAGGACTTCAAGTTTTTTCTTGCCTTTTATAGAAACCTTAAAAAAGGAAAATAAAATTATGTTATGTTAAAAATGGAAATTTGTCAAGACCCATTTTCTAGACAAGCCGGGACCGGCACCTGATCACTAAACATGACCGAGCGAACCATTTGCGCTTATCAAATCTGTTATAACTTCAAACATTATATGCCACATTGCAATACTGTAACCAAATACTTTTAATTAATTTAAAAATCTAAAATAAACCAACTCCAAAACTTTATTCGCAATAACCAATGAAATACTGCTAAGTTATTATCTAAAACATCTGAATCTTAACCCAACGACTATGTCTATGAAGCCTCTATTGATAAACTGACGCACTGCTCAGGACATGAGATTGCCTGGCTAGTCCTCCAAGTAAACAAAGAAATAACTAAATAAAGATGACTCTAAGGAATACTCCACGAACAAAAGCAGAGCTCACCAATAACACTGGAAGAGAGGGAAGTCCTAACCCGTAGCCTGCTCGCCTGCAAAACCGGTTCCTACGTTGTACCATAGACCAACGTAGGTTCCCAAAAGAGAACGTCAGTACCATCCATTGTACTCAACGAGTCTCAACGACAGGGGACAAAACTTTGATAACATATACATTACGAGCAAAGATTCTAAATGCATGTAAAACAAAAAGCTTATAAGAACAATTCTAAAATAATTGCATAATAGCAGTTTATGAATATTCTAAAAGAAATTCTTTTCTTTTTCTTTCTTATAAGAAAAACATAGTCACTTTATACTTTGGGAGTTCCATCTATCCTGACCTATTTCTATCTTAGTCACCGTGTGATCGGCACGAGTTCGATCCCTACCTGATCGAATGGCCCAATCCACGAGGTGCCTTCATGATTCTCAGCGCTCATGTATCATACCTTAGCATGGCTAAGTAGATTCTCAGCAACAAGACCTTCGTCTCGTGTGCTCCCTACTTTGGCACAAGTAGTTTCAGGAAGTCAACGCCTTGGTCAGTACCCTCGGCCTGGACATGACCCCTTCTCAGAATAAAGGATACTCCCAAAAAAAATTTCTTTCTAAAACTTCTTCTTGTGACTTTCCAAGTCTAAATCTTTTTTTTTTTTTGGGAACATCACATACATACTCATGCTGGTATCCTTAATTGTAAAGCATGGCATAAGAATGAAATAAACATACAAAAGTATTTCTAAAGATTCTTGCTTCTTCATAAATTTTCAACATGAAAATGGCATATAAGAATAACACAAAAATCTAAAAATTTATGAACATATATCATAATAAATCATCTAAACTTTTGCTAGAACAATTCCAAGTTAATAGGTACTCACTCGCTCCCATTAAGTAAATATAAACTCTTTTAAGCAATTCATCAAATACCTTGTATACGTGCTTTTGTGAGTTAAACCACTTTAGTAAAGGGTTATATCAACTCACCTCAAAACTCCTTGAGCCAATACGTAGGCCCAAGTACAATTTATCAAACAATTGATTCTACAATAACTAGTGCATTTAGATTAATTTCAAAGTTTCACACCTAAACATGGAACTTACTGGTGATACATAGGAAGAAGGGAATTAAATATTCAATTCTTACCTATTATTACTGTAGGATAATTGACAATAAAAAATTTTATATACCTGAGTTCAAGAATAAGTGAGTTATGAAGAACCCTAGAATTCTCTGTGCAATTTTTGGCGCCTCCATTTCGTATAAGGCTTTAAGCCTTTTGTGTGTGTGAGACAGAGCTTTCGCGTAAAGCTTTCTGTTTTCTTGAAGGCGTTAAGCCTTTTCTTTTCCCTAGTCACGTGACTTTATTGCTTTCTCTTCTTTTTTTTTTTTTGGTGTGTTTTGACTTAACTAGTATTTAATTATACCCATTGTTAAGAATTAATAATATTAAACTTATTATTATTCCCCTAATTATATATCCAATTATTTATAAACAGAGAAGTAATTCAAAAGTCAATCACAAGGGTTTAAATTCATAATAGAAGTATAATTTTTATGCACTTAAGGCAAGATAAAAAAAATTAAATTCTATATTTAGCGTATCTTGAAACTTTTATTAACTTGAGGAGAGTTACAATATTCCCTCCTTAAAAACATTCGTCCTCGAATATTGCTAGGGCCTTATTCTTAAGCTAATAATCATTCCTTAAGTCCTTGAACTTCTTAAGTTTTCTAACTCCCTAAATTTTTAAAAATTTCGACAGAGTCTCCCCTGTAAATTGGACTATCCAAAAATATCCATGTCACCAATACCACAACTACACCAACAACAAACAAGAATACCATAACAAGCCATTCATAGGCACCATACACAGCTCATAAACTAATTACTCACACTCTGGCAAGGAGGTACCACAATAACCAACCAAAATATAAAGCACAACACTTCTGCAACAAGTAAATAACTTTAATGAATTAAATATACTCTGGCATGGCACAAAATTATTAAATAGCTAAATATACTCTAACAGAAACTAAATTACTTCAAAAACTAAGTATAACCTAGCAAGGACATAAACACATGCTAACTTGTGTTTAATAAATAAAATATAAATGTCAAGACAAACCTAAGTTCACGTACCTTTTTCCTCAAATAAATATGGATATTTCTTCCTCAAATCTTCCTCGACTTCCCACGTAGCCTCTTTTGAATCATGATTACTCCACAAAACTTTTAACAATGTTATGTCTTTTGTTCTTAACTTTCTTACTTGCCTATCGAGAATTTTTATAGGTACCTCTTCATAAGTCAAGCCTTCTTTAATTTCTACGGTATCTGCAGGTATTATATGCGACTCATCATGAATATACTTTCTAAGCATAAACACATGAAAGACAGGATGAACAGATGACAACTCAACGGACAGCACTAGCTCATAAGCCACGCTTCCTTTATTTTCTGGATTTTCATAAGGTCCGATAAATCTAGGACTAAGTTTCCCTTTCTTACCAAACCTCATAACTCCTTTCATTGGTTAAACTTTCAAAAATACCTTATCACCAACCATGAACTCTAATTCACGATGCCTCTTGTCAGAATAAGACTTTTGACGACTCTAAGCCGCTTTCAGTTTTTCTCTGATTAGCTGAACTTTCTCTAAGGCCTCACAAACAACTCTGGACTAATCAACGGCAGCTCTGCTGGTTCAAAACAACCCACTGGAGACCTACATCTTCGCCCGTACAATGCTTCATAAGGAGCCATAACAATGCTGGACTGATAGCTGTTACTGTAAGCAAACTCTATAAGTGGCAAGTGATCATCCCAATTACCTCCAAAATCTATAACACATTCTCGCAACATATCTTCGAGAGTCTGAATGGTCCTTTCTGCCTGACCATCAGTCTGTGGATGGAAAGCGGTGCTCAAATTGACCTTGGTACCTAATCTTTTCTGAAATGCCTACCAAAAATGCGCCGTGAATTGAGGGCCTCTATCAGATATGATTGAAACTGGAGTACCATGCAATCAGACTATTTCTTTGATGTACAACTGTAGGAAATGAGCAGACTTTGTGAGTCGGTCTACTATAATCCAAATTGAATCATGCTTACGGTACGTGCGAGGCAGACCTACTACGAAATCCATATTAATCATCTCACATTTCCACTGTGGTATATCTATATCTTGAGCTAGGCCACCAGGACTCTGATGCTCGGCTTTGACTTGCTAGCAATTCAAATATTTGGCCATTTGATCTGCTACTTGCTTCTTCATGCTTTTCCACCAATACAACTCTTTCAAGTCCAGATACAATTTTGTAGCACCTGGGTGGATAGAGTACCTCGAGCTGTGAGCTTCTTCCGTTATGGCCTTTCTCAGACCATCTACATCAGGCAGACATAACCGATCATTCAATTTCAAACCTCTGTCACTTCCTAGTGTGAAAGCAATGATTTCTTTATTTCTGACTCCTTCTTTTAACTTCACTAAGTACGGATCTTTGTCTTGCTTAGCCTTAACATGCGCAACAAGAGAGGATTGCACTAAGGCATAAGCAGTTATACCTCCTTCTTTAGTCTCATCCGATCTAATTCCATCATTTGCCAGTTTTTAAATTTCTCGACCCAAAGATCGCCTTTGTACTGCAAGATAGGCACCAAGACACCCATTGACTTCCTACTAAGTGCGTCTGCTACCACATTAGCTCGGGTGATAAAGGATATTGATGTCATAATCTTTTAATGGCTCGAGCCACCTTCTCTGTCTCAAATTTAATTCTTTTTGCTTGAAAATGTACTGGAGGCTTTTGTGATCTGTAGACACTTTAAAATGCTCGCCATAAAGGTAGTGTTGCCATATCTTTAATGCAAACACCACTGCTGCAAGTTCCAAGTCGTGTGTGGGGTAGTTCTTTTCATGATTCTTTAACTGCCTGGAAGCA